GGAGATTGCAATGAGCTCCACCCAAATCTGATGATCTAATTGTGTTTTGGGTGAGGAAAGAGGAACCTAATTTGACCTCCTAACGGAGGCAGAGGAGTTTTCAATATCTCCTGACAGTCTTGGTTCTTATGTCTAACTAGCCAGTGTAACATATACTTATTGCTATCATATAATAAACACATCTTAAGACAAGTGCTTCATCCCATTATGATTCACTAATGCTTTTATGCTCCACCACTATTAACCAAATAGGTCCTTAAAACCAGCATAGAACAGAAACTTGGTAGAGTTAATCCCAAACATTAACTGCCAGTGGCTGGTTCCACAGCCCTAACAACAATGACTGTGAAATTTTCATTGATTGTTGTAAAAGTCTACCTGGTTTACCAATGTCCTTTAGAGAAGTGGTGTGATGTCCTTATCCAGTCTACCTTTCTGTTGACTCCAGATCCACAGCGGTGTGTTTGACTCGAACTGCCCTCTCAAAGGCTCCAAACAAGCCACCCACATTCAAGTTCAATTAGAGATGAACTGCAAATGCTGGCCTTGCCAATGATGCCCATATCCCATGAAAACAATACAGTTGAAAAATATTGAAAGCACTATAATGGGCATGAGATGACTGAAGAAGTGGATGAAAAAATCGGCCAGCTTTTGCTGTCCCGAAAGTTTCCATGTGACACACTTCCTTGGAGCAGGATTGGTGCCGAACCAGAACCTGGCTGCCATCTCTTCCCAGCCCCGCCTTCACTTTGGTCCCAGTTCAGCCCATGAAAGTATGGGCCTAAAAGTGTTATACAGATAGAGAGAAACTATTTCCTCTGCTGATTGAGGGTGGGGGAAATCAGAACAAGCATAACCTTAAAACTAGTATCAAACCTTGGAAAGTGAGCAGCATCTTTTCATACAAAGATTTCTACAAATCTGGAATTCTCTTCTCTAAAAAAGCTGTCATTGCTTCCAATGGGATTAGGGAAAGGATCACGTTCCCTACCTCTGTAATCTTCTCCAGCATCACTACCCTCTGAAATACCTGTGCTCCTTCTGATTCTGACCTCAAATTTAATCACCTCAGAGTTGCCTGCCCTGACTTCAGATCCTGGGCCTTAAACTCTGGTATGCACTCTTTCTCTGACTCCCTAACTTGCTTTCTTCCCCTATATTGCTCCTCAAACATGGAAACTGTATGGAAGTAGGCAAGAAGTGGACCATTCAGCCCTTTGATGACTGATGATCCAGTTAGTTCCCTGTTGCCATTTTCTCCCCACACCCTTTGATCCCCTCAGCCCTCAGAACTATATCTAACTCCTTTTTGAAAACATTCAATGTTTTAGCCTCGACTGCATTCTGTGGCAGAGAATTCCACAGGTTCCCCACTCTCTGGGTGAAGACATTTCTCCTCATCTCAGTCATAAATGGCCTAATCCTTTTGCTTCCTGCATTTACTCTTCCATCAACATCCTTCCTGCATTTACCCCATCGATCCCTGGCCTATTACCCCTGAAGACCTTTGACCAGGATTTCAGTCACCCAATCTATTATCTCCTTAAGAGGCTCAGTGTCAGACATTTTAGTGATGATTCTGTGAAGCATCTTGGGATGTTCTAGTGTTTTGTGCCATGCAAATAAATGTTGTTGTTATCGATGGTGCTGGTGTACAATTTGCCAACGTGCATTGCCTATGCTTGTATTCTTGCTATTTGGAATAAATACCAGAGGGTATTGGACACTTGTCGATTCAGTGCCTTCAGAAAAGGGAGGACATAGAGGAGAAAGAACAGAAATGCAGTTTTTTTTTGTGTTTTTAAATATTAAGCCTGAGTCATGCTGCTCTGTAAATTTGTCCATGGATTTTTTTTTCATTTCCCTGCTAGGTTACAACATCTGGGCAAAATAAGTTTGACCTAAATGATGTCAAACTCAGGTGTGAATTCCCAGGTCTGTGAGTTAATCTTTCTTTCCCCTTCTCCAGTCTGTACACGACACTGGCTACACATCAGCTTTCTTTCTAGCACTTGTGTACTCACACAACAATAACACGATTGCCCAGAAACACAATTGACAGGGATGAACACAGGACTATTACAAACAGGCTTCTGCTACTCAGGGAATGGAATGAATTGCTTTTTGACATAACGACTCCTCATTGACATGAAAGAAAACCTTCAGATTATCATGTCTAGTTTTCTAGGCATTCAATTTAGTAAGCTTCATGTTGAACTTTAAATTAGATTCTAATTGGGGTGAAGGTAGAGGGGATGTTTCCTCTTAAGGGAGAATTTAGAACTAGGATCACTACTTAAAAATAAGGTGTCACCGATTTATAATGGCGATGAGGCTAAATGTTTTCTCTCAGAGAACTGTGAGTCTTTGGAACACTCTGCCTGAAAAGGAAGTAGTAGCAGAGTGTTTGAAACGTTTAAGACCAAGGTGGAAAGATTCCATGTAAGCAAGGAAGTGAAGGGTTATCAAGAGTAGTTGAGAATGTGGATTTGAGGTTACAATCAGATTGTGATCTTAATAAGTGGAAGTTCAGAATCAAGGTGCTGAATAGCCCACTCCAACTCTTTACTCATCTGTTTGTGTTCAAGTTGTAAATGATATGTTTCAATTAAAATAGAAAATAGTCAAATGGAAACCAAGAGCTGTTCCAAATTTAATTTATCCTTTTAATGGAATAATGGCGTGTCTGGAGAGTCCATTATTTGTTGCCCATGTGTAGTGATTGGAATGAGGGCCAGGTGGGTCTCATTGACTATGAGTTCCCTGATTGGGGTTGTTAACCTGGGCCAATTAGGGAGCCCTGGCTGATAGATATAAACAGGAGATTCAGAAAGTCTCCTTTATCTAGAGACTGGCTCTGAGCTGTCTGGTCAGAGCCTATGTACTGTGCACATGTAAATAAAGGGTGATGCTGTGATGGGATACCAGATTCTGTGCAGTTATTTCGCTACACCTAACCTGTGTACCCTAACCCTAACCCTTTCTGCCTGTACTACAACTGAGAGACTTGCTCGGTCTTTCAAAGGGTGGTTGAGTGTCAATCACATTATCGTGGATCTGGACTCATATATAACCCAGATTGGGTAAGGAAGGCAGATTTCCCTGCCTCAAGAACATTAATGAGGGAAATGAACTTTACCACAATACTGTAGTCTTATGGTCACTGTTACTAGTTTTTATTCTGTGTTATATATCGTGTATTTAAATCCTCAATTACTAAGGTGTGATTTGAACATATCTCTCTGTATTGATTAGTGCTGGCCTCTAAATTACTACATTACTAACATAATCATTTGGCTATTATATCTCATTTCTTATTTCCTACTTTTAACTCCTTCTTTCCCATGTCCTTACTTTCCCCTCTCAATAATCTTCAAACGAATTTCAGTGTCATATGATAGCTAAATTATCACTGGTTTTCTGGTCTGCACTGTGACCTTTGACTTGGCACCTGATTTGCCTCAATCATGTCATGGAATCCCTATAGCATGGAAGCAGGCTATTTGGCCCATTGAGTCCACACCGACCCTCTGAAGAACATCCCACCCAGCCCCACCCCCTCACTCTATCCCTGTAACACTGCATTTACCATGGTTAATCCACCTAGCCTGCACATCACTGGACACTATGGGCAATTTAGCATGGCCAATCCACCTAACCTGCACATCTTTGCACTGTGGGAGGAAACCGGTCCTAAACTAATCACTTATCTATGCACTGCTCTATCCACTCCCACCTGAACAACTTAAGTTGTATTCAGCTGAAGCGAAGTTCAGAAAAGTGTTGAAACGTTACAGTGCAGAAAGAGATCATTCAGCTCATCATGTCTGTGATAACTGATAAAGAATCCCTGATATAGGAGATCATGTTGTAGTGTTAATTTCACTGGAGTAGTGGTGCAGAGGGCCCAAGCTAATGCTCTGAGGACGTAAGTTCAAGTTTCACCATCAGCTCCTGTGACACCATGGGCCCATAACTAGGGTGCATAGCTCCAGGGGGAGCCCCTGTGTCTGGGTCTATGGGAGGGGGCCAGAGTGACTGGGATGAGGGGACAGGACCTTGCACTTGAGTCAGTGGTATTGAGGCTGCTGTGCTCAGGGTGGGGGTTCTGGGAACACATGCCAGGAGCAATACCAAGCATTGGCATTTGCGTCTCTGGCTCTGCCAGCTGGTAGAATCTAAATTAAACTAGCAAATCTGCCTCATATCGGTCACAGTGACTGTGAAACAATGCTGGATTGTCACAAAAAAAATCACACAAGGTTCACAAGAATGA